CTCAAACAGAAAGTCAAGGACCTGATGGATTGATGTCATGTTTCCGTTTGATATGGAAGTCACGATTGATTTTGACAGAAATTGTAATTGGGCATTCATTATTGGGACATTCTAGCTTTAACACCTTAAAATAAAACAAATACATTTGCTGTAACGGAGTGTTCAGTGTTTCTCTTGTTGTTGTCTATGCTGACTAAAATGCGACTCCAGACAAATGATTACTTGGAAATATTCCCCCACATTGAGGTAGACACAGAAGTCGGAATCAATTGATACAACTGTGACAACAACAACTTTATTATTCACAAAGCAGAGTAAATTATTCTTTACACATCAAAGAAAACTTAAACCTTAAATAAATGATCAGTATCTGACCGATTGTGTCAATCATGATTTTACGGCTAACAGTGATAGTTAGTCCATCCTAACACCTCCTCTTCTCAGCAGATTTTCAGTCGGCGGGGGGGGACCACTGGAAGGTATTCTAAAGTTTGAGTACTCTCTGTCTGCGACACCTCCCTCGCCAGCGTTTTCATCTGACTCCATGTCTGCCCACATGTTTCATCTCCTCCTCACATGACCTCCTCCGTGTCTCCTTCTCAATGACGACCAACTCACTGCTTCACATTCCGGTTTCACTCAAGCTATGGCCTGGCATGTGATGTCACTTGGTGGTTTGATTTTTCAGAGTATGGTTAATCCATTTCCATTTCTTCCTGCATATTTTTTTATTACAGAATGATTCCACACAGTATTTTTGATACAAGTATGACATTTTCATCAGGTGATATCGGTAGCTCCATTTTGCAGGCTCACCACTGATATCGAGTGTGCGTCGGCAGGGGATCGAACTACGGACCATGTGCATGGTCGGCGAGAGTCCTAACCACTGTGCCACAATTGGTTCCTGCTGGTTTGGCTCACTCATAGTCAGGGATCCCCTCTTTTGTTGATCTTTTCTGGCCATCTGATATTGAGTACTGAGCGAAGACAGGTGTTGATGAAGGTCTGTAGTTTGCTCGAAGTACTCTTTGTGACGTGGCGCCAAGTCTCTGATCCATATAGTGGCACATAGGAGTTGAAAATCCGGATCTTATTTTTCATGCTGAGTGCTGCTGATCTTCACACAGACCTGAGAGAAAAGAAAGTCTGCCTTGCTTTCCAAATCCTCGCTTTGATATCCTCGTCAGTTCCGCCTGTAGTTGAAACGATGCTTCCCAGATAGGTAAAGGAGGTTGCCTCTTTCAGATTTATCCTATTTATGGTGGCTGATTTTTGTCTGCTGTTATTGCTGTTGCTGTTGACTCTGTTGCTCTATGTTCACCTGAAGTTCTATCTTTGATGCTTCTTCTGCCAACTTGTTGCTTTCCATTTGCAGATGTTCCAGTTTGTGTTAAGTCAGACACATATCATCGGTGAAGTCCGGATCCTCCAAGTTTTTTGTCTGGGTCCATTTTATGCCTGTTTCCTCATTGCCCGCTGTCTGTCGCATTATCCAGTCTACCGCAATTAAGAAAATCATTGAAGATAGTAAGCTGCCCTTCTTGCTTAAATAATACAATCACTAATCTCAGTATGGGGATGACCGGATGACTGAAAACATAATTCCTCAGTAATCACTTCAGTCAGTTTCATTTGGAAGTCTTCATACAGCTTCTGTTGCTGTTTATACTTTAATTTTAGGCAGCTGTGTTTCACGTTTCAGATAGAGTTTTAGAGTGTTTCTATTCACTGACAGCTTTACTCATACTCTAGGTTTGGAAAAAAAATTACCACTTAATAAATCTTCATAACAGTGTTCAAAAAGTTTTGCTGGAAATAATGCCTGTGTGTCTGTGCTTGGCACTTTGTTAAGTGTTCGATTCTTCATTCTTTTTTTAAATTCTTATTGGTTACTTTACAGTCTATGGTGTTGATTCTAGTCTGTCACAGCCACAGATGATAACGTTTTTTTTTAGAAGTGTCAGTCTTTTCTACTTTTCGTACTTGCATTTCCTTTAACACTTATCTTAGCTTCACATTAAAGATCACATGATCAATTGGAAAGGACAAGTAGTCAGCAACTGTAGCAGTGAACCTTCCAAAGACAAATATGCAGAAAGAAACAGAGATAGGCTGGACACTTGCTGCAGAAACCATTGACTGATTTAACATACCAGATATGCTGTTGTACGGAACCAAAGTGGGAAGTGATTAGCTGGAGGAAACCGCTTGGCAATGGAACGAAAGCATATGAAAAGTCATGCAGCCAGGTAAAGAAGATTTCAGAGAATAGGATTTAATGGAGATGGACCGCTGAATCCTTATAATCCTATCGGAACCCAAGAGACAATTAACACTCAAAATAGTTTTATTGCAGTTTTACGGTCTTTAGTTCATTTGACATAAGACGATGAACAAAAGTTAGGAATTGCCGTGGTATGCAGATAAATCCAGGATGTCGAAAACAGAATCGGAAAGGCGAGGTATACTATCGCCACTCTGAAATCAGTTTGGAAATCTTCAGCACTCAGTCGGCGTAAACAACAATATCTAGATTTTCAACACAAATATTCAGTCAGTTAGTTCTTCGCTACCTAGTATATATATTTATGCAGTAAATATATCGCTGTATGTAGAGTAATCAGCTGAAGAGTCTTACCAAAATTTGATGAATTTTAAAAATACTGCTTTAATAATCTTTTTTGCTTGTTTTAAATTCGTATTGGGAAATGAATGTTTCCAGTTCTTTACTATATGGTAGAAACTTTCGCAGCGCGTCCAGAAGAGCACTTCCAACAGGCTAGTACAGACTTTCATCGACAGCTACGTTCGCTGCCTCAATACAGAAGATCGGTTGGCCGGCCAGAAAGTATAAGCAACCAGGAACTTTGAAAACGAACCGACCAACAACTTGTTACACAATAAATAGGCAGAAAGAAATGGAGATGGGTATAACACACGCTAAGAAGATGGCTGGATGATATGATGCGTTAGGTTCTCGAGTGGCACCCGAATGGGAAATGACTAGTGTGTCGTCTGAGGGTAGCATGGAGGAGATTAGGTGAGAAGATAGTGAGAAACTATGGCTAAACGTGCAGCCAAATGAAGAGGACTGCAGAGAACATGGTGAAAGGGAGATGCGCTTTTGAAGTCCTATGTTCCACTTGGAAACCAACAGAACAACAATAATAATAATGGATAAATCGAAATGTTAAGCGAATAAAATAATCGAAGTTTCTCTAAGAAAGCAGGACAACGGTGGCAACGAGTTACTGAGTGGTATCATTTACAAGAATACGTGAATCATTTTAAAAAGACTACTGATAAACAAATATAAGATGTGGAAAATGTTGTCAGTTAGGCTTATTTAGTTGGGTATCAGACAAACGATACATCTAGGTAATGGAAAACAATGAAGATTTTTATTTGACGAAAGGTGGTGCAAGCAATCAAATGTCGACAGCCAACTTATCAAGGTAGAAATAGGCTTACTACGCATCTATTTGAATAATCGTTTGCTAGTGATGATTAAAGTGGCCGAATTATTATTATAATTATTATTGTTCTCATGAATTCAGAGTGGAAAATAAGGACTCAACAGCATACCTCAACTTTGTCCTATTCTGTGCGATCCTATTCATCTGCCTGCACGATTGGCCATAATATGTCATCTCCTCCTTTCATCACCCTCTCCGCGTCACCCTTGGACACACTATCCACTAATCGTTCCCTATTTAGGTTCCACTTCCGCAATATCAAGCGACGGTCTCTCCATTTATCTCTATTTTCTCCTGCATAAATGTTGAAAAGGTAGGTCCCTGGTTGATTCGTTTTCGTTCTTTACACTGAGTTCCGTAGACTTCCAAACTGATTTGAGAGTGATTAGGGTCTACCTTACCTTTTCGATTCTGGCTTTGATATCCTCATCCGTGCCATATGCCTGTAGTTGAAACGATTCTGTTTAGGATAGATTAGTGAAGGGAGTGACCTCTTTCAAATGTGTTCGTCTAATAGCAATTGGTGTTTGCTGTTGTTGGTTGATTATTTTCACCACTTCTGTTTTCTCTGTGTACATTTGAAGTTCTACCTTCGCTGTTTCTTCTTCTTCAATTTCGTGGACAGATAAATAACTTTAATCAAGGATGGAAGTTCCTAATCTCTTGCTTTCAGCTTATTCAAATCTCTCGGCAAGTCTTAGGAGATATCCTTTTTCCCCTAGATATTTTCCTATGATCCATAGATCCTACTCGGATCTGTCACTAAAGTATATCATTTTAGCCTTATGGAATTATGGTTTCAACAATTTTTCACATACTGAAATGATAGAAAACGAAAGACTTCGTAGAGGAGTGTTTATTTGTATATTGGCATCTCTATATAGCGAAATTATCTACACCTTTTCTTCATCACACCATTTGCACAGATCTTCGCATTGTGCTACTTTTGGCCTTCAAATTGCGTTCCTTTCACGTCTCTCATGTATCTCCACAACGCAGTATTGTTCGCCTTCTCTGACATTAGATGTATCTTCTTGCTATTTGGTGTTTTTCTGCCGATGAAAGTCTCTTTATTTACTACTAACAAATCCTATAATTAGCACTCGTCATTTCATTTTTGACACCAAAAAAGAAAGTAAAATAACAGGTTAACATAAGTATTCACGTTTCATTGAATTAGAAGTGATAATTTCTCCAGTCATGTGGTTTTCTACGTGATAGCCACAAAAAATATCAAAATTACTCTATATCGAAAGGGAAAATATTTAGCGCAATAGATGATTAAGATGGCTTATTTTACAAATCTTTTTTCTTAGCACTTTATAAAAACACAAACTTGATAGATAATATGGCAATGCAAGTAAGCAATAGTCTGATTTTACAGCTTTAAGCAGTTAGTTAGCATGTGTGCATTTTCCAAATTAGCGCGTCATGTGACCTTCCTTCATTGATCCAATAGAATTGCAAATAGTTACAACAACCAATCAAATTGAAGAGAATTATTAGCCAGTAAAATCCAACTATAAATTAATTAATTAGTACAGTTGATCAAATAACTTCCAAAATATTCTGACAGCTTACTGATTTCGCTAGATTACTGAAACAGTTTTGACGAATATTGTTTCAAATTAATAAATAATTATTTACTATACTTTGTAAATAACATTCAATTTGACAAATAAACAAACAAACGAGAAGACAACAGAAGATTATGAGCAAACCAAAGAGAATGATTTGCCTTCCTGTGGATGGTAGTGACCATTCACGTCGAGCAGTAGAGTGGTATATTAAAGAAGTTTATCGACCTGGTGATCAAGTTATTTTTGTGCATGCAATAGAAATGCCTAATTTACCTGTAGTTAAACTTTCTTCTGGTTTGAATGTACCTGTTGATAATTGGACAAAATCAATTCAAGAAAAGTAAGTTAAAATTATTTTGTACTCTAATCATTATCGTTTGTAATAAATATATATTCATGGTATTATTGATAAATTGGTGTCAGAATGAGAACCAATAAAATTAAGGAACTCTCGGGGTCTCTTTAGACTGAGTTCGTTATTACACTGCGGTTTTCATTCCCTCTTTTATATTTATTATATTATTATTTATTATTCTTCCCTTGGGTTCCGAGTGGAACACAGGGCTTCAACGGCACATCTCCACTCTTTCCTATTCTCTGAGGTCCTCTTAAGCTAGCACAACACGATTGCCCATATTCTGTGATCTCCTCCTCACACGGTCTCCTCCATGTCAATTCCGGACACATGAACCACTCGTCGTTTCCCATTCGGGTTCTACTCGAGTAGTGACCTGCATTGCGCGCGATGTCATTCGACAGTCCACTCAGCGTATTCCCAATCCATTATCATTTTCCCTTGCGTATTTTTGAGCGATAGATTCTTTATTGGTTTTTCCGCAGAATTTCTTGTTGCTAATTCCTCCTGGTTGGTTATTTGGTCTTCAATAATGACCCAGTGAAGGCAGCCGTTGAAGAAACTGTGTGGTAGCCTGTTGGAAATGATCCTCGTGACTCACGAGCTGAGCAAGTTACTGACCCATCCAGAAGAAGTGACCGACTTAACATCTGTGTTGGAGATCTGAATCTTGTTCTTTATGCCTAGTGAAGAAGAATTACGAGCTGATTGGAGGGTGATGAAAGTCTACCTTGGCTTTCAGATTCTGGCTTTCACATCCCCAACTATACTGCTGCTACATAACTGAAGGAATTGACTTGCTTCAAATTTCTCCACTTGATCATGATTTGTTTTTGTTCTGCTTCGTCGCTGAGTATCTTCATCACCTCCGTCCTGCCAATGTTCAATGGAAGTCCTATCTTCGCTTCCTGGCTCTTTTGATGACGCGTTATTATTCGCATGTTAGTTTACTAGTTTGCGTAACCTCAGAGATAAGTAGTCCATGAAATTCAGGTCTTCTAGAGTCTTCTTATGAGTCCTGTCTTTTCGCTCCCCACAGTCGGACACATCGCCCAGTCCACCGCTTCAAAACACAAGAAGAACATTCAGAAAATCTTATATTTAGTTTGCCCAAAAATATTCAAGGCATCACTATAAGGGCCATATATTTCTCAGCTTTTCCTAACCAAAATAAAACACAGTCTACATCTTCCATTTTTGATAGTTGAACACTATTTTAGTCAATTTACATTGTCCAAGATGTCAAAACCAGGGTTAGAAAAGCAAGATATACCTTCAACAGAGTGCAGTTAGTGTATAGTTCTGCTATACTCAGGATAAGGAATAATATTTGGATTTTCAACATTAATTTCAGATTAGTGTTCGTCGATGATTCAGAGACTCGATAGGTCACCAAGAGCATTTCCAACAGGCTTCAAACTGTCACAGACATCTGCTTTCACTGACTCAGATGTCCAGAAAGGATTAGCAACAAGAAACTATTGCAGTAAGTCAAGCGAAAACTCAGTTTCTACAAGAAATGGGCAGAAGCTAATGAAGGTCGATCAGCCATACGCTGAGATTACTGTCTGATATCACAGGCTAGTCAGGACCTCGAGTGAAACCTGAATGAGATGTGACAAGTTGGGCTTGAGACCGAGGGTGACATGGAGATTATATGTTGAAAAGGTAGTGGAAGATTACGGGCAATCATTGACCCACCCTAAAAGGGCTACTATGCGTCGGTGGCACAGTGGTTAGGACTCTCGCCGACCATGCATATGGTCCTGGGTTCGATCCCCTGCCGACGCACACCCAATATCTATGGTCCGTCTGCAAAATTTGGGCTACCGATCTCCATGCTGAAAATTCCATACTTGTACTGAAAATACGGTGTGGCATGAAGCTGTAATAAAAAAAAAGTAAAATTGCCGATTGCTACTGAAGCCCTACTTTCAACTGGGAACCCATAGAAATAACAATATAATAATGATTATGTGTTACACGTTTTCAAATTCTAAAGAAATCCTACATCTTTTCACTTCACCACTGAAGATCTGTAAGACACTCGCAGGTATGAAATTCGTCACTTTTTCAGCAACTTTCCGAATGAGTGGAAGTTAGTTCCTTGGTGAGAAGTGGTGGTGGAGTCAGAAAACCTCCATTTTCTCCTGTTTTTAGACTCTTCAGCCCCATGTACCTACGCCACCAGTAAGGGATCGTATTCCCACCGAGACTCGAACATAAAAAGCGTTATCCGCTTGACAACTTGGCTGCAAGAGCTACCTCTTGTACCATAGGTATCACTAGAAATTATCTGTCCATGCTCCAAATATTTTTATTTGACATATCTGAGATGAAATCGCAAACAGCCTCGAGTTACTAACCCTACAAATATCGAGATATCCATTCGTGAAATCCTCTTTTATTTATCGAAATGCTTTGGATTAATTCATTTCAGACATATCAAACGGAATTTATAAAAATATAAATAAATAACTCTGACTGGGTAATTGTTCTTATTATTTCACAAGAAATCATTGTTTTTGTCTGAATTTAATATACTAAATATGAGGAAATATGTTTCCCCAGTGTTATTACAAATTCTTTTCTACTGACTTGATAAAAATAAGTTACGTCATAAGCTTGTCACTGCGGGATATCTTTTTTCGACGTTTTTATACAGACTGACAGACAAAGTCATTGTATCTAGCTGCAATTAATTGTGAACTGTCTAAGAGATCTTTACTTTAGTAGGGGCATAATCAACAAACTTTGTTTACCATTTTGTAGGCCTTTGCATAAGAAACATAAATGGAGGATCTGTTTCTAAATCCCTTAGGATAATTAAGATTTCACTGGTTACTGAAGCATAGGACACACTAAGGAAAACCTTTAAATTAGAGTGAGAGAGAGTATAATATTCTCGTTTTCCAGACATTTCTATTTTTTTCAATAAAGCAAGAACAACAGTGGTCTGTGCAGAATGAAATGGTACCATCATTGTTTATTTTGCTGGCTTCTCATCAGCTTAGCTGCTTACAGGCCAAAGTCATTATTAAGGATATCTACAGAAATAATTTTAACATACTTGCACAGAGTTCACTTTTAAACAAAATCAATCAATCAGTATATGCACACAGTAGTAAATATATGTATATAATAATATTAAACACTATTCCGAACAATAATGATCATACACAATGGAAACTTCCGATATTACGTAATCAAATGAAAAATAGGGTGAAAATATCCATTTACCAGGCAGGGCAAAGAAAGACTGATAACTGCTTCTTTCTGAACGCATAAATCGGGTTTCAGGTGCTTGATAGAGATCGCTTCGGCAAATTTGAGGAGAATTGAACTCTTTTGCCTATTGATAATTTTGAATGATCTTGCAATGTCCACCCCATGACCCATGTGAAGGAGATGTCTGGCGATGGCACTGTTTAAAGCATTTGTTCCCTTTAGACATAGGCTTTTTGGTGCATGTTCAGAAAATTGGAAGTGTGCTCTTCTTTCTGTTCTTCCAATGTAACTGCTCCCGCAGTTATGTTGTTCGACTCGGATTATGACGTTGGCTAGCCTATGTGAATCTGATATTTTCTTTGTGCGTACTTTTATGAAGTCTACAACTTGAACCACTGCCAGTTTTGCTCGAAATTCTATGTTGAAATCCAGTCGGAATACGTTTTACAAGTATTAATTCCTTCCTAAGGATAAGTAACGCAGCTAATGTCAGTGTATAGTCATTCAGTAAACTGATAATATTTTACAATCGATAAATAGATAGGCATTCATAGGTATCATAACGTGACAACCCTTAGTGCTACTATGAAAACATTGTGACTTCAGGATATCAGGTAGCTGTTTAAAATAACTGTAACGTTTGAAGCTTCATCACTGATTGACATCAGTTAGAGAACTACTGAAAACCAGCAGGGAGTACTGGACAGCTGATTCGTCCAAGTTTAGGATTCTCTAGCAATATGAGCAATCTACGCGCTTGCCTTTTAACCTGAAGGTCCTAGGTTTAAACCCTGGCAGTGGTTGTGTAATGGCGATAAGTCAGAAACTAGGCTGACGAAACAGCCGTCTGGTACTTCTTGCTGATTTTCAGTGATTCTAACGAAATCAGATCCCTATAAACAAACTCTCGGTATTTAATTGGTAGATGGTAACTAGCAGTGAAATCCAGGATAATGTGCATTTCGTCCTATTTCAGACTCGTCATCTGGATGTACTCACATTCCCCAGTGAGTGATGATGTTCCCACCGAGGCTAGATCCCAGTGCCCATAGTTTCAAACGCCAAATTGTTATCCACTAGACTACTTGGGCCACGTGAGCCACCTCTTGTGCAACGGGTCATATTAATTATTTAATTGAATTTTAGATTTTCCCATCGATTGATTAGACCGAAATGCTCGGTCTCAGGTTGACATGTCGGCTTTTTTTGCAGATGCTTCATCGATGTCTTGGCATGTAGTTAGAATTTAACTGATGGATGGTGACTAGCAGTGGAATCAAGATAATGTAAATTTCAGTTAAATAAACTCTCGTTAGTTGTAGGGTACTCACTGAGGTACACAAGCTGAAATGTAAATTAGAATGAATAACGTTCAAAAATATTACTGATCAACTTGTCTTACAAATAAATTCAATCCAATAATTACAGACATCAAAATGAATCATAACGATTGGCAAAAATGTAAACAAACCTCTCTCTTTCCCTGTTTTTGGTACAAATGAAAGTGAGTTAGCTTACAACTGACCTCATCTTGCATTTAAGCTAGTTCACTCACACTAACTGAATAAGTTTCAACATAGCACTTTACACAGAGGTGCAGCAGTCCAAGTCCAAGAAAATAGGAGGATATAAAGAACTCTACTGCGCAGAAATTACAGTAGAAAGAGTAGATATACAAAGTTAAAAGTACCGAATGCAGACACACCATTCACAACGGTTTTGAGCTATGTCACCAAGTCTCCAGCCATTAGTTCTTA